TGGAATTATTGTGAAATTTGCAGATGTATTTTTTGTAAGTAGTCTTAGTTAGGTCTCCGTTGAAAGAACTAAATACATTGTTTTAAAACAACTTCCTTTGGGCTTTCCCTGAAAGGACAGCCAAGTTTTTACTTGTAGCAAGTTGCTTCTATCATTGCCCATTGAGGGAAGATCGCGTTTGCTTGAGTAACGAGGGAGGGATCGCGTTTGCAGGAGTTTTGCGGCTTTTGCTTGCCTAGTTTCCAGCTTAGCAACCTGCTAAGGCCATCTCAGCTGTGATTATCTACAGTTCCTTTCTAATCCAGACCACCAATTACAGCTGTTTGGTGCTAGAGCGCTTCGCTTGAAACCTTTGTTAGCTTGTGTACAGTTCTTGTTGGTACCCTCCCCCAGGCTAACTTGCAAGCTTTCCAGGACCCCTTGTCATTACTTTGTTCCATTTACAGAGGCCAAATCAAAGGAGCTTCCGGCTGTTAGTCTCACTTGGATTTCGGCCAAGTTCAAAGAATAGTGATCTCAGATCTCCACTTAGGTTCTGTCCCCCTAAAATGGGTTAACCCCACTTAGAGGGACTTATAGAACCTCGCCACTTAGGTTCCATCCCCCTACTAAAAATGGGTTAGCCCCACTTAGGGGGACAAATTAAGTGGGTTCTAACCGATCTGAGGGTTTTGGTATTACACCCTGGGATTACACGGTCCACAGTATCACGGCTTTATCCGGAAATGTGCCTAAATGGGGTCAATACCCAGTGCTCGGCAGAAAGTGCCAATGAGCGCGGCTCAACTCGCCAGGAGCTGCTGCCTTCGCTGCTGCGGCGCGTGCTGCGATCCAAGGGCCGCTTTTGCGCCTGCGAACCCGCGGGCAGGTGCCAGGCGGCTCTCGTGTCTCGTGTCTGTCGGCGACCCGGAACCTTGCCCATAAAGTGGAATTCACTCCATACTGTGGATGGACGAAATCCTGCACCAGCTAAGAAACCCCAGAATGATCATTCCCCTGTAAATACCAACAAACAATGGTTTGTCATTGTTTCTTAGGTGGTGCAGAATTTCGGAACTCCACAGTATGGCTGTGGGTCAAAACCCATGGTGCCTGTTTGGTACGCGCACCACCCATTTCAGTCTAGTGGGGATTAGGAGGTTCACTGGGGGTACGATTTGGATTTTGACCCATGGCCATATTAATATGTTTGGGGCAACAACCCTTTTTCACCGTTTCACGGGAATGTTGAGGGTCCGGGTATGCATTTTCATGGGTAACAGCATCAAAAGTGGTTGGTGTAAAAGTATTAGGCGACAGTCCCATCTAGAAACCACAAATGTGTGCGGATATGTGCCATTTGATTCTTCCATAGTCTTGGGTTAGTACCAGTCACATTTGTTCTGTGACTTCTGGAATCTGGGTTGATTGGGGTCGGCCCCCATGTAAAAGTAGCCGCCCATTTCTAGAACAACCCCCTAAGCAAAGAGCCCCCCTGCAACAAAGAAATGGGGAAGCGGGGGAACATTTGGAGTTCCATTGATCCCCTAGATTGGTTCCCTGCCATGATCAATTCAGTTTCCAGGCTGCCTCGTAAGCTTTCAATCAGAGACTTACTATGATCAATGTTGCCGCTTGCGAGAGTGCCACCGTTTTGCCGAGTCGCCCGCAGGAAGGCGTGCGCTTGCTGCCCCTCTTCTACTGCCACCCAGTTATGCATTGGATTCCGCTCTTTTTCTTATTTGTTTGCGTATCTTTCTCATCAACCCAAAAGGGCACCTCCCCGTGTTTGTTTGTGAACCAAGCATGACGAAGTGACCAGAGGACAAGGGCACTTTTTTGCAAAGGGTTCCCCTGGATCTACGTAACTGAGGCAACTAAAGCAAGGCTAAGATGCTTCCCAGCGTCACCAACAAAGGCAAGATGGAGCAGCACGGCTTTCGAAAGCTGTCGGAGGAAGTTTGCCACCTCGAGCAGAGAGATGAAGACTACCTGCTGTTCCAGCCCCTTGGCGACAGCTAGGTCCCCCAGTAGTGCCCCTTTTCTCCCTTTTTGGTTGGGTTTGGTTGGGAGGGTTCCCCTGCTAAAATAGACTACAGAACAAAGTTGGTACCCTTATTCTAACCTCTCTACTGGAGGACCTAGACAGGGTGTACCTAGTTGATTCCGCTTTTGGGAACCCTTTAGAGACTCTCAAAGACGGGTATTTATTTTGCAGAGGGGAGGTGTTCTAGTGAAGGTTTCTGCACTTTTGGTTCCTGCGTGAGTTGTTTGGTCCGGGGCGCAGATGCTCTTCGTCCTACGTAGAAGACTGGCTTTTGGGATGAGGTTTTGTTCTGCAGTTTTCAGGGGATGCTTGGTGCAGCGGTTGGAGAGGGGAACCAAAAGACCCCCATGATGTTGTCTTCCTTTTTTTAGCGAGCTCACCTGGAGGTAAAGTGAGCTCACTATCCGAACATTCACTTGCCCGGGTCTTTTTGTTATTTCCGGCTTTGTGATGATTGCCAGTTCCGGAAACCAGCCGCTGTTAAAGCAGCCTCAACTGTGTTCCCTGTTGTTTGGACTCCCGCACATGAAACGTGGAGCCTTGAAAGTGCATCGTTTGGCTTCCATGGAAGCAACCACTAGAACCACTTGTCAGTCTGCCAATCAGGTTCCAAGCTCCAGACGCTGGCTGAAGTTCTGAAGCATCGGTAGATTGAAGCACAGCGAGTTCGGGTGGTTCAGCTGGAGAGGTTGACAAGGGCACGGAAAGGACGGGGGGTGTTTGTATGGGATTGCCCCTTTCACCTTGGTTTTGCAGGTAACCAGCATTCAAAAGGAATGCGCTCATTTTGAGGTGGGTCCCCCTATTTGCTATTTGCTGTTTTGAGGTAGTCATGGGGGCTGGGGGGAGGGAGGGGAGGCCCCTTTAAGCCCCTATTAAGCCCTTAATAGGCCTTATTTGGGTCTTATTTGGGCTCCCTCCCCCTGGGAGGGTTGCCCTACTAAAATGGACCAAGGCTGGGACAGGCAAACTCAGCTGCCACTCCCTGAAGGTGCGGAAGCTGAACTTGAGGCTCCAGATGCGAGCTGCGCGGCAGCTGTGAAGGCCGGAGGACGGCGTGTGGATCTGCGGGTGTCATGGCGGCCGTGGCTCGGATGCGCGGAAGGCTTCGTCAGAGACGCTAGGCCTAGGCAGCCTCTCCTTTTGAGCTGGGTACTACATGTACAGCGCTCAGAAGTGCTGATGGTTTCGCATAAAGCCATGGTTCGTGGTGCATACGCTCATGAACCGGGAATATCAGCGGCTCAGACTGGACCAGGGTGTCATACCATTGGGGTTACAGCCGGGCTTCGCACCAGGGGTTTATATCAGAGGTTCATACTCGGACATACCGGGGTGCGTGTTTGCTAGACTGCCCCTGCTGGGGCTTGGAAAAGAGACCAAAGGGAAACCAGTGGTTTGGAGGGTCCCCGATTAGAGAGAGAGAGAGAGAGAGAAAAAGTCAGGTAACTTTAGTTGGTGGTTCGGATTGGTGATTTGGGAATTTGAACGATTGGTTCTTGTTGAGGATAGATGGCTACCCCCAAACTACCAAACCACCATTCCAAACCACCAATCGGAGGGAAGCAGAGAGAAAGAGAGGGAGAGAGGGAGAGAGAGAGACCCTTGTGTTTATACAGCCTTGGACAGCCGGGCTCGCTTGCGCTGAGTGCACAGCCGATCGCCGAGATGGATTGGAGAAAAGTGTCCGTGAATCAGGGGTCCGAGTCGAAAAGATCAACGCACAGTACCTGGACCCTCAAACTATCCAACAAAAGTGAGAGTTCACTCATAACTTTTTCTTCACAGCCTGTCACAAGTTTGCCGAAAGCTTCGGCGTGTTGTGGGCGATGGTGTCAAGCGCCGTTAAACGGGGCGCCGGAGAAGGTCGCCATTTTGTGAACCCTCACACAGCCGGAGGTGGAAGACGGTAGTCCGTTTCATTGCTGTTTGCACCGGTTGTGTTATTGGGGTATCCTTTTCAAGTTGGTTTACAGAGAAAGGACAAAAGTAATGCCACCATTCTGGGGACTCCGGCACTGTGAAAGATATCAATGTCGTTCCCGTGAGTGAGATACCAAGCCAGCCATACAAGGTTGGAAGCGAGCAAGCTACGAACATGGCATGTAGATCATGGTCACAAGGACACAAGGATGGATACCACCATGTAAAGCATTTTGAGCCCTGGTGAGTTTGCCATTTGCCCCGAATGGTTTGCTGATCTCGACAGCCACCACAATAGCCAATCACTAGACATGCTCACTGGCGACGTTTGCATCGCAGAGCACAGCAATTGCCTTCAAGCCGGTTTGGTTGACATGCCAGTTTGTGCGGGGTTGTTCGTGTCAGCTTTGGTTGTTTTTCCCCGGAGGACCATACTAATTCAAGGAATCCCTCGCAATAACTTTGATGATTACTTCCCAAAGCAAGGGGAAGCACCTCGGAGTGTTGCGGATGTTGACACTAGGCCCAAAGGTCCGGAGAACCCTGAAACTGGAACCAAAAGATGCAGACCCAGGTTCACTCGAATAGTGTCCCTATGGCTTGCTTCTTTTTTGCCTTTAAAGACCGACGAACACGGGGTCCAGCATGTTGCGAAGCTCCCAAACGGGTTTAACTAGTGCGGTATGTTGCTTCTTTTATTTGGGCGGACACCGCATGGTAAGGGTCCCAGCGTATGTTGGGTTGGCATTCCCAGGAAGAACACGGGCGCGATTCCCACATGCGGCGAAGCCCTTGAAGCATGGCAAACGGGGCTTGGCTTGCTCTCCCTCTGATCTGATCATGGCACCCGACAGGGCTCACAAGTGTTGTGCTTCTGGGAGAAGGGGCAAACAAAATCTGTGCATTTGCTCGAGGTCCCCCAGTAGTGCCCTTTCTCACCCTTTTTTGGGGGTGGGTTCTCCTACTAAGATAGACTACAGAAAAAAAAAGGTGCCCTATTCTAACCTCTGTACTGGCGGACCTAGTGTTGTTCCCATGTTGGACGCCTGAGGCTGGTACCACCTGTCGTCTCGCCGTCTCGTTTTGCCGAGTCTGATGCCAAGCAGGTTTGATTTTGAAGAGGGCCAGGCCCTTTGTCAGCAAAGGTTGTATACCTTGAGAAACCAAGAAAGCCACAGCATAGAACCCTCACCCCAATGGTCATTCCATGTAAAGGACCTTTTTTGATCAGCCCACACTTCGAGGTTTCACGGCCCTGTGAACGGCATGGCGAATCAGTGAATCTAGACTCTCATCCGAACCCCTTGCCATTCTCCAGGTGACCATGGAAACTGCCAGGAACCTGTGGCACCTTTGGGACGAAGACTTTCTTCACCGTGGCCTTTTTCTGCTCGTAAGGAAGGGACCTTTGCTGTTAGAAGCATGGCCTGCATTTGCATTCAACCCAACACTTGGCCAGGGCCAGAATCTCGTGTTCTTCGGATGATGTTGAATATCATTTGGGCCAAGTTGAAAGTTTCCCTTGGGTGCAGTACTTGAAAGGCAAATCTGAGATAGACTTGACTCCGGCTTGGAGCCTGTAGGGTACTTTACCGGGTGTCACTTTTGATTGAGCTGCCTGATGTCTCAATCATATTTCAGTCATGGCAGAAATCAAGCAGTGAACGCCTGGTTTTCGGATTGGTGCTTGAAGTACCGAGCGCCGCAGAGATGTTTTTTCGTGGAACATGACTTCAAATCCATCTGTTCAGAGGGCCAATGGAAAGGTGCCAGCTGAATATGGGTGTGTCTTTTGAAGGGACCCATTTTTTGTTGGCTTTGAAGGGAACCAAAAGAGCATGCAGCATTTTGGAGGGTCGCAATAAAAAGAAAGACGAGCCGCCCATGACCGCCCATTTTGGCCGGAGGTTTGTGGTTGAATGTGTATGCTTCAGGTCAAAGGAAACCCTTCAATTTACCCCAAGTGGTCGGAGTGTGATGATTGAACGTGGCAGGTTCACTTGCATTACACGTCGGGGCAGAGGAGCCATGGAATTTATGCGGAAATTCCCGGGGGGTTGTGTTTGAACGTGCCTGCCTGGTTGACTTGCTCTTCATTTAGGGCACCACCAAACACCCCCGCCCACCCCAAGGCCAAACCATCAAATCCCCTCAACTTGCAAGGAAGCAATCGTAGCGCCAGGTCCAACTGCGCGTGTCTTCCTCCGTACCGCGGCAGCCACTGCGACATCCTGGACCAAAGTAGCGATGACCAGGTGAGCTCCGATGAGATGGGTTGCAAACAAGTTGGTATTGATGATATTGAAATATGTCGTTATATGTGTAAACAGTTAATGAAATTAACAAGTAATAATAATGATGATGATGATGCTGATGATTGTAAGAATAATAATTATGATGATAATGCATGTGTTAGAGAGGCGGCGCAGTGGAAGACAATTTGTTGGGGACTTTTGGGTACAAAGGACACTTTCTGTGATATGGCTGTGGTTGTCAAAACCGTTTCGGGATCCCATTTTGGGCTAGGTGAATTCACAACCCATTTTAGAACCTATTTTAGTGGGGATTGGGATGTTCACTGTGGGTACGGGATTTTGACCCATGGACATATCAGGGCGATTCCCTTTATTAAAGTGAGAGATAATAGTCATGGAGATGACCTGTACTGGCATCACAGAAGGTGCGACTTGCACAAGCATGCTCCCACTTGCGCTAGGACTGAACCCGGAATTTCAGTGTCAGCACCTACCCCAAGGAAGAAAGGAAAGCAGTTGGCCAACAACGACTTGTACGATGGTTACAAGACCGATTCCATTGCTTGAGGTTAACCGGGAGGGTCATCCGCCTGCTAGTAAGGATCCTTAAAGCCAATTATAAGATTTTCTTGCAAGGGAGCCATGTCCAAGGCCAAGCAAACGGAGTTTTGACCATGGCACACTTCTTGTGGGATTTGGGGCTCTCTGAGGACATTGCTTTGTGGTGTGTGTATTTTGGCGGTTCCAGTCAGAAAGCGGGCGGTATGTCAATGTGCCGAAGGGGTGAGTCCGTGCATGGGAACATACGGAGGCCAGCATTGGCAGGTTTGATTTAAGAGTTGAACTAGGACAAGGGCTACCGACCATCCTTTGTCAGCAGAAAACAACGACCTCTAGCTATCTGGACCACCCAACGTCTGCTGCAACCCCTCAAGGGTTGCCTTGCGGACAGCATAGGGGATTTCGACTAAGGAAAACCGCAGTCCCTTTGTAGTGGATTCATGGGTGAAGATTGGCCGAGATTCGATTTTCAACAGAGCCTTCCACTATGTAATATGGTTTATTTTCCCTTGTTGGTTTTAAAGGAATCTATCACTACTGGGACGCAACAGCAAATGGAAGTATTGTAGAGCCGCGCGAATCAAGCTCTGGCTCGGGGAAGTATCCACGGAAGTGAGAATGCCAGCTGACGGTTTTCACTAGCGGCGCCAAGGCGCAATCCGAACATGAATCGCACAGCCCGACTCACCCTTTGTAGTGTAGTCAGGGCCGTTTCATGACTTTGGGTTCGTGACTTGGACTTGTGCCATTCCCAGAGAGAGGACACTGATGCCTGAGGAATCCGCCAGGAAGTCCTTGCGTTGGCAGCTCTGCCGAGTTGGACTGGGAAAGATGGTGTGTGGGATGAGCAAACTCAGCATTTGGAGGGGTCCAACTCGCCACACTGTGGCTCTGGATTCAGATGGATGTTGACTTTTCTTCGAAGCCACGGGCGATGTGGTGCCAGGTTCGACCTTTCCGCGCGGCAATGGTGTATGTGCAGCGACCTCAGTGACAGGAGATGCCCCCAGGTTCAGAGGAGCCCTGAGAACCTCACTAAGGTGCTGAGAGCTTGCTTGTTCTTTGGCGGAGGTAGAGGTAGGGAGCCTTTGTTTCCGTTTAGGCGCCAAGGGGTCCGTGGGTTTCTAAGGGTTTCGGATTAGCCCCAGGAGTGGTTAGCTATGGTGTCGCCCGGTGAACTGCGGTGCATTGGATTTTGGGGGTCATCCCTTTTGGGTGATCCAGACCCATGTCGGACTCCAAGGTTGCCCTTCTTCGTTTCTATTGTCAGCCCAGGATGAGTACCCAGTTTTAGTCGGGGTTCACTTCTGGAGGGGAACACCCCAATACTAGTAAGCAGGGGTGTATTAATCCGGGATCAGCATTTCCGGGCGGGCAACTGGGATGTTCAGAATGGGCATGTCCTTTTTGGGGCGCTGTCTGCATGGTTTAGAGAAGCCACCAGCAAGGTCCAATCATACATGAGCCATGCCCAAGTGGAGAGGTGACATTGCGAAAGGTGCTGCGAAGCACACGGTTGTTTTTCCGACTGCAAGCCGGAGCATTGCATTGCGCACTCAAATACCGCACCATGTAAGGGAACACTTGTCAAGTTAGCATGCAGCTCATGACGCACAAGCACCCCAAGTCTCACCTGGTGATTGAAGCTGACATTTGCAAGTTCTACCGTATGTGAGAGTTCCCAAAATCAGGAAGGTCCCCAAAGCAGGCTTGACTTTTAGATTTCCTTGAAGCAGCTGGCAGTCCTGGATACGACATTCCTCTTTCATTTTCTTCGGGAGCATGGATTTGAAATCAAAGTCTGCCTGCTGCGCTTTGTTGAGCGATAGCGGAACCCACTGCAAGAGAAGGGGAGAGGAGTCAGGAAAGCCGTGTCTTGAAGTAAGTACTTGTTTGTAAACTCCTTTGCGTGTCGTCGAGTCCCTTTGTTTCCCCAGACTCCAACGTCTTCAAACTTGTTTCTTTTAGAGGATCAATCGAGAAGCTGTGAAAAGCCAAAGTTTGCAACTCCTCCCTTTGCTCCAAGGCTGCTGGATGCGACACAGCAGGCGACACAGGCCGCGATGCGAATCAAAGCAACTTTCCAGGCGATGTTGCCTTCTGGGGTAGGGTTTCCTTTGACCCCACTGCAAGGCATGAGTGCAATCATTGAAAGGCAACTGGGCACATACGATGTGCCCTTTGTCCCATTTCAGTTTTACACTTACTAAGTTCATCTAAGAGCCCCATGGGTGCAACCCTATCAACGTTTAACATCAAATGTGCGGCCTCACACAGTTTTTTTGTTTTTTTTTGCGAGCGGAGTCACCAACGACACGGAGGGGAGGCAGTCTCTTGGTGCTTCTTGCGCTGATGTGGGCTGGCTCATCTGCGCGCCCTTTTATTGGTATTGACGCGGTCTGTCTCAGCTAGCCTTGCATCTAATTTTACTCCTGTGAGTTTAGATTGTCTGCCATTTTTGGGCGATAGTCGCCTTTGGCGGCTAGTGCATTGTTAAGGGCAATGCCCCCTTTGCCCTTTGCCCTCCGCTGGATTGGTAGGTGTTTCGGCAGGTCTTACTCGGCGACAAGGACTTGTCCGCCTGCGAGCGAAGAAGGTTCTCTTTTGGGGGAACAGCTCATTTTCCCGATGAGTGAATTTATACATACGGGGTTTGACCAAAAGATCCGTGATACATGGGATGACCGTTGGTTGGGAAGCCACGCAAAATAAATATGATATTTCAACCACTAAATATATATTTCAAGTAAATAGGAACGTTGGCCATGGTCATTTCGGGGCCGAACAGAATATCGATCAACCCCTATATATATATAATTCACCCGGTTGGATTTTGGGGGCCAGAGCTCTTTTGCTCGATCCTGAAGGATCAAGCTGGCCTTTAGACAGGATTTGCAGATGGCACCTTTTGACTTTTGACCTTCCCAAGAAAAGAAGAAAACTGAGATCCCACTTAAAGGACGAGTTTCATATGTACATATACGCAATTGTACACGCAAATGCAGGCTGGCAGGGGTTCCCCTTGTCCCGAAAGGGCGCCACAAGGCACACACTTTTTTGGTAAGCCTGGTTGACACATTCTGTGTAGCAGTGTGGGCAGATTTGTTTCCCCAGCTCGCTACTTGTGTTGTTTTCACACAAGTTGGCCCTTGCTTTTGACAAGCAGAACGGTCTGAAGGGTGGGAAACAGTGGGAACCATAGAACGGGCATGTTTCGGCTTGAACAAGTCTTGGGGCCCCTTTGCATGGTTGTCGTTGGGAAACATTTGACAGTTTTGCTTATTGTGGTTTAGTGGGAAATCCCCACTTGGCTGCTAGAATCTAAATTGTTGCTCCCCTTCCAACGTCAACCAAGTTTGAATGATGACCTTCAGGGCAACCGAAGGTACCTGTTTCCGAAACGCAGAGTCGCGCTTTTGTCGGAACCAGCGTTATCCACACTCGCACTCTCGAATGCTTCCTCCACGTGATCCTGGTGCAGCCCAATATGACAGTGCTATCAACTACACAACTTCCACAAGCATTTTTCTGGAGCCAATGCTGCTCCGATATCGCTTTTTTGACCTCACTTCGCCCGAGAAAAAACACGGAGCTGCGCCTTTCCAACAAACAAGTCGCTCGCCAGGCCTTGACGGAGCGCCTCCGCAAGCTGTGGCTCTTCAATGGGCCCGGGAGCCCTGGCCCAGATCTCATCAGCGACAGCTTGCCCAGAACTCTTGTGACGCGGTCCCAAGAAAGTGACTCGGACCGCCCCCAAACCCCCCACCCCCTCCCCCCCCGCCCCCTTCAGCCCATTTTGGCAATATGGTTTTTTGGCCGAGATCCCGCTTGAACGCTTCCCGTGTTCCAGATTGCGGCGAGGCAACCTGGCCGCGGCTACGCGGTGCTCATCTTTCACTCCGGGCTGTCGCAGGAGACGCTGGAGCAGTTGGCCCTGGCCGGAACCCTCGGAATGAACGACAGATTGGTTTGTTTGCAAACGGCAATCAGAACGATGCTGTTTGTATTTAAAAGCAATACCCTGCTGCAATTCCTGAATTTCCTGACAACTCACTTGAGGCTTGTTAGAAAGACCCCCTAGTAAAATTCGCAGTCTTTACTGTCTTGCGTGCTTGTGGGGGTTGGGTTTGGTAGGCCTTGTGAGAGCGGCACTGTGTAATCATTATTCTTCGGAAGGGGAATGACAGGGATTCCTGCTAGGAAGTGGGCCCACGCCGCCAAAATTTAATAGCATTGGGCACACATTGGCCATGCCTCATGCAGTGCGTGAGGGCCACGTACATATATATATATATATATACACACAACCTTTCTGTATCGACCGTCCCTCACACAGACAAACAAACGAAGCACCTGGAAACCCATATATGACGTTTTTTTCTGTCCATACGCCTTGAGCCATAAAAAAAAATACCATACGGTCATTTGCGTGTTTTTGTCAACAATTTGTTGAACAAGTACGGGTTGCATACGGCCAAATACGGCCACCGGTTAGCAAAAAATGACCATACGTGAAAAACGATCCAAATATGGGTTCCGTCCAAAAAACAATGGCCGTACGGCTTTCCAGGCAGTGATCGTAGGGCCGAGATCGATTCAATAATTTGACGATTGCGGAGTATCAGCGTTATTCTCCCATTTCCTTTCTGCCTCAGTCCCAGTTGTTTGCGTTGTTTCCGCATCCACACCTAAGTAATAGATGACGCATAAAGTTCATGGCTTTTGTGTTTGGGTCTGTTGCCAACCTTGCTGCTTAAATGGAACATAACACATGGGCGCTAAACCCGCCATCAACATTTCGGACTTTGCTTCAGTCATCAACTTGCCCAGACTATATTCGACACGCAGATAATCATGAGTGCCTCTCTCCAGTTGCTGGAGAGCTCGGATGATGTTGTTTGCCACATCCCCATCGGCAGTTGTGTGTTACACCAATTTCGACCAGGAATGTGAATGAAATCGTTTTGCACCGGTTTGTTGGGATGGTCCCCGCCGTCAGTCTTTTTGCGGGGAAAGCGAATCTTGACCTCACAAAATTGGGGACCCTTTGATTTCACTCACCGAAATGACACTGGGAAATAGAGGTGACTCGCCAAAATCTATTGGTGGGGACAATAGTGACTGGCCCTCATATCCTTTTTCTTTATGTTCATGCCATCCAGGGAGAAGCCATGTTCTGCACCGAAAACGAACTGGGCTGAGGCCAGCGAAAACAAGATCTGGCTGCTGAAGATTCCAGAAGCCGTTGGATCAGGCGCGGGTGTGAAGCCCGGGTGCAGCTCAAACCCTTTTTGCTCATTTAGGAGAGTGAGGTTTCCCTCGTTACTGCACTTGTTCTTGTTGAGTTGATTCTGGTTCCGTAGAAAACATCAGGAGCCAAGAGCCTTGTCCTGTTGATTCTGATTCCCTAGAAAACAGAGTTTCCCTTGAACATCAAGAGCCTTCCTGTTGAGTTGAGTCTGGTTTCCCTTGAACCTCAACCAAGAGCCAAGAGCAGGGCGAGCTGGCCAACGTCAGTGCAACCTAGTGGCTAGAACCAAAACCATAGTGAACACTTACAAGTTCCCAGGGCTTTGAGCATAGTCTCTGCTCATTTCGGGGTTCGGGACCGTCCGAGACTCAAGTCTTAGCCGGCATGTCCCACGTGTGGGCGCGAGAGGTTCGCATGGAAGCTTTTGGATCTCCAAAGTAGACCTTGGTCCTATGGCTCTTAAGAGCCTGCCGCCTGTAAGGCGGGCATTTTGCGGTTGACTCGATTCTGAGGCGAGTGTATGCCACGACACAGCGCATGATTCCACATCCAAGTTTGGGAGTGCCGGGCATCCAAGGCTTGAGCTATCGCTCGGCGCATTTCGCCGGTGTTTGTGTCTGAGACCATGAGAGAAGATTCAATAAAGAATAAAAGAAAAATACAGTTGACATTTTGTTGTTTTCAAGGATTTTGGCTTTTCTTTTCTTTTTTCATATATGATTTTGGATTTTGATGAACTATAATGAACTTTAATTGTTATTATAGGTCCCTTGAAAGTCAGGTCCCATGTAACGGATGGGCGTCTTTCCCAGTGCTTTCAGTTACGTAGGAAGCAACCGGCGCTCAAAGGTTACATCAGTCCGGTCACCCGGGTGGCTCTTTTTACATGTTGGACCCCTCCAGAATGGTGATTGTCCTTTTGCTTTACACACCAAAAAAAGGGAAGCCCTAAAAATGACAGTCACACCTAACCGTAAAAACGGGAACCTCCCAAAAAAAGACAGATACACCTACCCGGAACCGGACTGGGTTTACCTTATTCCGTGCCAGTAACGCGGCCTGGCGCTCTTCGAATGCGGTGGTTCCAGAGCGGCCAAGTCTTTGGCCACCCGGCGCTGCGCAGTCCAAACCTTAGCAAATTTGGCCGAAGTTTGGAAGTCTTTCCCATACTGTGGATGGGATCGCGAAATGCCACGAAATCGCGCCACGAAATGAGTTGCCATGGTTGACTTCACTGTTCTTGGCATGCTTTTGTTTTATTTTTAGTTTTTTGGTTCTGTTCATTTTTACTGGGGGGTCTGCAAAAAACAGTCAGTTTCTTGCTACCATACCAAGAGTAGCCATGGTTGAAACCAGAGCCTTTGTTGGTATTTCCACGGGAAAATCGTATCAGAAAGCAACCACAGCATGGTCTCAAAATGAGTTGGACCCCCTTTTCACGGGTCGTGGCTTCTTCTTTGGGTTTCCCTGAAAAAAACCAAGCAAGAGGGGTTCACCAGAAAACAACAGATGTCTTGGGTGTTCGATTCGCCATGCCGGTAAGTTGCTGGTATCCTGCATACCCAATTTGCAGCCAAGCTAACTGCACTTGGACTCAGAAGAAGGTTATAGCCTAGGTTACCAACAGCTTACTAATTTGGCCGAACACCCAAGCATTCATTTGTCTTTGTTTTTTTAGTTGGAACCGCGTTTGGTTGGGTTTCAAAGGGAGGCCAAGCAACAAACAGTTGTCGGTGTTCTCCAACGCTAGGATGAGTGTGTCTGTTTTGGGGGCTTTATGCCTCTTTGGTCTGTTTTGTTTGGTTCGGTTTTGCGGAAATCGCGGGAACACATCGCGTTTTGGAGTTGTTTCATAGTTTCTGTTTTTTCAATCATGTATTTCTGTGTTGTTTGTTTGGGTTGATATAGTGACTTCCAATTGCTTAAGAGTATGTTTTTGTGTTTTCCGCTGTTAGTTTGAAAGGGAGTCTCTCGGTACCTTGTTTTTTCCCCAGGCAACTTGAGGATGTCCTCTGGTCCGGAGCCAGACACTTGATCCGATCCTTGCTTGGGGCCTCCAAGCTCTGACCATATGCCAAATCCTTTTGGTCGGGTTCAACACAGACGAGCCTCTCACCCGTCGAGTTGACAAACCTTTGACATGTGTTGGTTAGAATTTTCCTCATTGTACTGTAAATTACTGTGGATGAACGAAATCCTTCACTGGTTGGTAGGTAATTTATCCCAGCTTTTCTCCCGGCCAGTCTCAGCATTTAAGGGGGCAAGCTACATACTGACTGACCAATTCCATACTGCGCATTGCAGTATCCGCGTTGGTCTCCAAGTGGGATATGGCAGTTTCACGGCGGCTTCAGGAGTCCGCCGTGCTGTTTCCGCGGCTTTGGTGTGGATGGCAGTGTCTGCATCTTGAAGCTGGCAGCTGGCAGCTACTCTCTGTCCACTCTGAAACGAGCTCTGCAAAGCCCCAGCCGCATGCACGAAGAAAGCCTCCTAGGTCCCCCAGCTAGGTGCCCTTTCTCACCCCTTTTTTTGGTTGGGAGGGTTCCCCTACTAAAATAGACTACAGAAAAAAGGGCACCCTTATTTTAACCTCTCTACTGGAGGACCTGGCCTCCATCTGAGTTCACTCCTAGATTCTGCATCTTGAGCTGTTGAGTTTGGGCCTTGGCGAGCACGAAGCCGCATGGAGCAAAGGCAATGTTCAGGTGTATAATGTAAGGATCCCTGTTCAACCACGTTGTTCATCAACCTGTGGCCTATTTCCGTCGGTGGGTTTCCGACCCAGGAAGCTTCAGCGCCCTTCCGAGGCCTCGACGTGTTCTGGGACATCTCCGCCGACCCAACCGAATTCTCTGCAGAGATGCAGGCAGCTCCCGAGTACTTGGTGAAACCGGGGAGAAGGGGCTGGTGCTTCTCTTTCAAGGGAGCTCCAATGTTTAAACGTTTAGATTCTGTCCAATATGTTTGGAATTCATGTCATCTGTGTTTTCATGCTTATTTTAGATGGGAGCATGCTAGCTTTCTGGATGGTTTCAAAGGCTCGCAATTTTAAGAGCTCCCTATTGAATCGCATTTAAGGGAACACCCAAATCACCGCAACAGAAAGTTGGGGCAAAGGGATCGATCGAACGCCCAAACAAAACAACATGGGGTCCACAAACCGGCAGGAGTACGTGAGCGTATGGGACAACCTTCCTTGTGGTGAACGACTTGTGAAGAACGGCAAACGTCGAATATGGCTAGAACACAAAAAACAAAAATAACACGAGAATGTGTGTGACGTTAAAATGAAGGACATATACAGATCCTTTCATCTTGTCCCCTTTTAGTAGCCTCGTCAAAGAGCCCTTCCCCTGTCCAGGTCCCGTAGGTGCTGGTTGCTTATTGCTGACACCGCAGGGCCCCTCCTTACGTTCGCTGTGACGAACGTAACCAACACGCCCACGAGAATCCACAGCCGCACCCGTGCTGGCAGTGACACCAAAGACGCTGATGTTCATTCACAGCCGCTGCAACTTTTTCTTACACAACTTATTTTAAACGCTCCTGGCAACAAAACAATATGTCGACAAAACTACAGAACATCCATATTATGTAGTTAAAACTCACGCTCAACACACTTGATCCCCTACGCACACAGAGACATGAGATGTTCCTTCTGCAAACATGGAGACATGTTCAGCGATTGTGGTTTCTATTGTCTAATCGCCTTGTGGCAAATGACACCCGATGCTGCATTGCACCGTGTCTGATTTCTTTAAATATGGAGCAAGGTGTTCTAGGACCTATCTTTGCTGCTTTCGGACAACAGGCATGCTGTGATAGAGTGGTCAGTGCTCAGGATACGTCAATGTGAACCATCACCGCCGTGCAAATGTGTTTCATTCATGAATCTGGCTAAATGAGTGTGGTCAAGGCAACGAAGAAGAGCAAAGGGAAAGGTACTGCTTCAACTACCAAGCACAATCACACACGGAGACACAGACACAGACACAGACACAGACACACAGACACAGACACAGACACAGACACAGGCACAGGCACAGACACAGACACAGACACAGACACAGACACAGACACAGACACAGACACAGACACAGACACAGACACAGACACAGACACAGACACAGACACAGACACAGACACAGACACAGACACAGACACAGACACAGACACAGACACAGACACAGACACAGACACAGACACAGACACAGACACAGACACAGACACAGACACAGACACAGACACAGACACAGACACAGACACAGACACAGACACAGACATGGACACCATCTCACGCGCATCCACAATCACTGCGCTCACGCTGGCGCAAAACAAACGCTCACACGCATCCACAACCACACGCTGACGCGCTTTCAACAGCCACTGCGCCGTGCTGGCACAAATCATAATCAACACGCTTACGTTACACGCATTTACAACCACCGCACCCATGCTGGCACAAATGCAACTACGGCACCTATGCACGGCGCGTTTAACAACCACTGCACCCGTGCTGGCACAAATCATATTACACACGCTCACTCGAATTCAACAACCGCTGCTCCCTTACTGGCACAAATGATATTACGCATGCTCACGCGCGCGTCCAACAACCACTCCACCCGTGCTGGCACAAATGATAATACACCCTCTTACACGCACTGCAAAAATGCTGGCACATATTCCAAACTAACCACACCCGCCGGCACACATCAGAATTAAAACGCGCACACGCATCCACAACCGCTGCACCTATGCTGGCACAAACGATACCAAAAAGGCTGACGCGCTTTCAACAGCCACTGCACCCATGCTGGCACATATGATACTAACCACGCTTCTGCGCATCCACAACCACCGCACCCATGCTGGCAAAGATGACATCAAACAAGCTCCGGCTTCCAACAACGACCGCACCCACGCTGGCACAAATGCTACCAAACACGCTTGCGAGCATGCACAACCACGTCGCCCGTGCTGGCTCATGCGCGTCCAACAACCACTGCACCTATGCCACAAATTAGGCTGCTGAATCCACAACCACTGCACCCATGCCACAAATTAGGCTGCTGAACAAGAAACTTTGGGGAAATCAAGTACGGGACCAGAACTGCCAGGAACTTCCTGGAGAATGAATCCAAGAAACTTTAGGAAAATCAAGTACAGGACGAGAACTACCAGGAACTTCCTGGAGAATGAATCTCCAGGTTGCATTTTCTTGGCGTTTGCATGTGAGACGTGAAGTCGTTTCCTTGGTCTCGAGGATCCTTTGCTCGCGCTGCACCGAGCTGCTTTGGCGCCCGCGGCCTGCAGGCCTCGTATTTTGTTGGCCACGGATCACCCAAAGCCATGTGGAGTTTTCCGCGCGCTTGCGATGGCCAGCTTGGATTCTGAGCAGGGTAAGGGCTTTTGACGTTTTGATGGGCTGCTCTTCCACGACATTCCATGACTTGAGCAAGGAATTGCCCTGGCAAGAATAGCTTCGGATTGTCTCTTTTTGATGAAATGTCAACCATTTTCACTGGGTCCCTCTGACTGACAGATAACGTGAGCCTCATCAAGTTGGGAACATGAGGTTTGCTATTTTGTGCGCTTCTTGGTTCCGGCAAGCAAAACGGAGTTGCATTACTTGTCCAACTGCAACCCTTCCCCTTTTTGCCTGCACTTCCTTTTTCCTTCAATAGCCAGTTTGCTTCCCTCAGCCAGCCTCCACTTTCCCAAATATGTTCCTACCAACAAGATCATGGTTGTCGTTGGGGAACATTTTTCCCATTTTTGCTTATTGTGGTTTAGTGGGCTGCTAAAACTGATTTTTTTGCTCCCCAAACCCAACGTCAACCAAGAGATAGTCTCATTTCCCAAGTCCCAGGACTTGAAATGTTTTGGATTTGGACCGGTTTAGTGGCAAAGAAGCAGTCTGGACTTTTTGGCGCCACGGAAGTGAGCACCCTCCCGCCAACCTAGAAGTGCATAAAAAGGCCAACTAACCCAGAGGAAAAAGTCGAATCTTTCTGCAAAGGCGGGGCTCCGCCCGCTGCAGCCTCAGCTCGGAGCCATCCAGACGGCTCGGGGAACGCTGGCTGGGTCCCAGCCATCCGGTTTCCTTAGTGTTTGGGGGGTGTTGGGTTGCTTTTTTTTGGGTTTTTGGTTGTTGTTTTTTGGTTTTTTGGTTTGGTTTGGTGGGTTGGGTGTCCATTTAACCCACGAAAAGTTTTCGACTTTTAGCAGGGGATCGAAGGGTTCGGAATAGCCCAGATGGAAATGACCAGAAGGGCTCTTTAGAGGAAAATGGACCTGCACCCGCAGCTAGGCAAGCATCTTTGAGAAATGTATGAAATGGGGACGTGCCCTCATAAAGGCCGTTCCCATTTTTCCAACGGTCTGCTTAGAAACCAAAGGAAAACCGAAAGCGACGAAGGCCAAGGACAATCTGTGATTCGCGTGTGGTTCAGTCACGAGTTTGAAAATGTGACCCTCCCTTCCACTAACATAGAACCTGCATGGGTCCCTGGATCATTTTCCTCTAGGACCCTCTGTCAGCTGCCATGTTTGCGGAAGTGAGGGCAACCGTTTATACATTTGTTTTTTGTTTTTTTTGGGGGGGGGCATCCCTGAAAGTGGTTTCCTTTGCACTCCCCGGAAAGGCGCACTTCGAAGATGTCCAGGTATTCAACCCTTTTGCCTGCCCCCATTTGCGTGATTTTGCTTGTGTCTTGGTTGAGTGCCCCTTGTTCACAAGGAATACCGATGCCATTTGTGAGGGTGCCCTAAGAAAGGACGAGCCGCCCATTTGCCCGTGCCCGCAGCTCTTCCTTTTTTTTTCTGGCTCCAAACTCTCGCGAGCGACGGGTGTTTCAAGCGGGCCGCCCTGAGGCGTCAGGCTGGGCGCAGAATTAGAAGAGCTGACGGAGATCTACTTGCTACACCACGGCAAGGACAGCGGCGGTGTCAGAAAAAGGCCCTGGCAAATACGGTGGTTGTTGTTTTTGTTGGTCTTTGGAATAATATCTACCTGGAGTCTCCATGACCCTTTAAAAAATGGGGTCATTACCCAACAATTAAGGGGTCATGGACACGTTGTTTAAGGGTCATGGAGACTCTAGGTATGTTGAACCACTGTGTATATTCATTGCGGCCTCGAACTGGACATGGAATTTGGTGAGTAACCGTAATTTCCAAATGGTAATAGTAGTTCGGCGAGCGTGCCCCATGTTATCCCTGCAATAGATGACAAACGTTGGCAGCCGCTGATGGATGCATGCATGCATGCATGCATGCATGGGTGGGTGGGTGGGTGAATGGGTGGGTGGGTGGGTGGGTGAGTGGGTGGGTGGGTGGGTGGGTGGGTGGATGGATGGATGGATGGATGGATAGAAGGATGGATGGCTGGCTGGCTGGCTGGCTGGCTGGATGGATGGATGGATGGATGGATGGAAGGATTGATGGTCTCGCGGGACCGAAAGACGGACATTGACGGCATCCACGCTTGCATGCACAATGCATACAGGTAGGAAATAACAATGATTAGTTGGCCTTTTAGCGATCTCCCATAATTGTAGACCACACAAATTCGGGCACAAGTCATTTTTGGTGATTTTTCGGGTGTGTCTCAAAGCAGTGACCCTCCAAAATGGGTGGTGTCTTGGTTCCTTTGCGGTTTGTTTGTGGATTCACAAAGTGCACGGGTCACGCTGGGGGCTATCGCATTCCGGCTGCTAGTGAAAGCCATGGCCAGGTTAGCAAGGATTCTACTCGCCGGGTTGGTGAGGGCCTCTCCAAAGCTGCACCATTTTTTGGGGCAGAACCAACGTGCTGGGCAACGGTCCTTGCAGTTACAGCTTGGGCGAGTCCTTGCAGTCCTTAGCTCCGTGGTATGACATGATAGCCCCGGTTGCGGAAACCGGGGCCAATGGGGGGTTGAAATACGGCCCAACAATTGTAGAGGGCCCCTTTCAAAAGGCTAGTCTTCCAAACTCGCGTCCAAGATTGTTGGCGCGAGGGTACATGTGTGGGTCTCTCCGCTTCTTTGGGTACGTGAGTTGAAGGGACAGAAAAGGACAACCGCTTCTTCTTTTTTTTGGGAGGGGGGTCCAACCTTGAAAATGACGAGTCACCCATAGTTGGAGCCGGCGGCTTCTTGCGAGGAATGGAAAGACTTCTTGGAAGCTGGCGGGGCTTCGCCCTCGGTCCTACTTGGGTCGGAAGCTAGAAAGTTATGCCCCTAAGTTGGGTGAACCTTGCGTTATGACCGTGGCTAACCACTTGGCTTTTCGAACCTCCAATTGTTTGGGCGGGCGGTCCGTTTTAGACTCACTTCGTCAAGTAGGGGCCCCTACGAGCAGGATTGTGTTCGGACGTCCAAAAAGATCCCGGTTTCCCCGGTGTCCTCATAGCGGGCCAAACAGATCAGGCACCCTGTGAACTTTTGCGAGCGTTGCACACAACCACTGAAGGAGAGCCCAGGAGTTTTCGTGCTAAGCGGTGATACGGCATGCGTAACAAAGAGGGGCCCCTTTGCTTTTTGAGTCCTCCGAAGATTTGTCTAAACCACACAACGAGTGGCTTCCCGTTGGCTTCCCGTTTGGCTTTCGGTTGGCTTCCCATTGGCTTTTCGAAGGCTTCCCTTGAAAAGGTTGAGCCTCAAATGTCAAAGGCGTCAAGGGGATTCGGTCAGTCGCGTTTTCTACAGCCCGGCTATGCCACTTGCTTCGCTGAGGTGAAGATCTTGACAGGTGTGGGCGTCAGCTTGATCTGGGCATAGTTCAGAAGGGTTCGTAGTAGAAGTACATTTGCCACATGGGTGTGGCTCAAAAAACCGGCACCAAAATGAAACCCTGGTAAGTGGAAACATGGACCAACACCTGCGGTTTGCCCCTCCTGTTTAATTTTGAGCCACACCCACATGGGTGTGGCTCTCCATCAGAGAGCTGGGGCAAACCGCAGGCTTTAGTTTTAGTCTTTGGTGCCATGTTGGTACCTGGAGTCTCCATGTGACCCTAAACAAATGGGGTCGTTACCCAAAATTAAGCGCTTGTGAGTGACCAAAAAAATGTGAAGGGTCATGGAGACTCGAGGTACATTTTTTTGAGCCACAGCCAGATATGTTGGGGAGATCCACATGTTTCAACCTGGAAGCTGCACAGGCGCTGACAAAGCTGATGCTGCTTGCACAGTGTGGCGCAGGAGCAGCTGGTTTTTCACGGGCTTGAAAGCAGGTCAAATTTGTTCGGTACCATAATGGCCTGAATAGTTTGTAGTTTTTTGTCATGAGGTTGTGAGGCACTTCAAATCCAAGTTTAGTACTGATTTCAGTAGAAAGCTTTTTGTAATTGCTCCACTTACATCACTTTTTTTCAAAAAGGAGGCCACAAGGCATTAAATCGATTCAGAAGAGCCATTCGGAAAGCACTCGGACTCCTCTGTAGCGGTTTGTCACCTCTTGACCATAAATGAGTTTGTGACTGTCAAGAATTTGGCGGGCACACCCATTCAGATACACTTCTACAGCAAATCGCAGAAGCACAAATGAACAACAGTTGGTTTTAAGTGGAAGTTCGCGAACGTGGTGTTCATCAACATAGAATTGTTTGGCAAGACACGGCAATCAAACGCGGAAGCCAGGCTGTCAGCGGCGAACATTTCAGTTCACCTCAGTTGGCCACAGACTTATGTGGTACAAGTTTGTTTGTTTTTTCGTGGAACCCGCACAAACAGCGCAAAGCTTAGTGAATCCTCACCCTGCGGTCAGTCTTCAACTCACGCGTAAACATCTCAAGTTACAAGCATGTCAACAGTGCTGGCATGCGCATCATGGAAAGCAAATCTAAACTCTCGCGCAAAAAAAAGAAAGAAACACGGCCTGCGAAACAAACTACACAACATGTGTAGTCCATGTTCTTTGCTCTCATGTTTTTGTTTTAACCAACCCAAAGTCTGTTTTTTGCTCAGTCGGGGTGGGGTCTCAGTCGGGCCCGTTTTTGTGTCGTTTTTGCTTCGCGGGCCGATTCTTGAAGTTCTTGGCGCCGATGCCTGCCACCCCACGGGAATCAGCTTCAACTTGCATAGGGCGCTTACCACAAGTGGTTCTCATATTGTTTTTTGTTTTTTTCCTGTTCTCCTGTGCGATTCATTAAAATAGAAGAAAACACTTGTCGCCTCTTGAGCGATAACGTTAAGTGGAGTTGCTGCCAGATGAGAGTTTGAATCCCCCAAAGCCACCACGTTTAGAAGAATTGCCATTTAGGAAAGGCAATTTTTTTGGGGGGGTTCCATGCTATAATCTGCAGGAGGGACACTTGTTGGACGGGTCCCTTGCTCATGGCTCTCTCTGAAAGTTGGCTGCAATGGGGAAGCCTGTGACACTTACAAGGAACATCACTGCAAAGTGTCTTCGGTTTTACAGCGGTTTTACCGATCAGTGGGTAGCTCCATGGAATGCTCAAAGATGATGATTTCCGCTGTTTTTTAGATGCTTCGCCGGTGACTCTACTGATCAGTGGGTGGTTCTATTTAAAGCTCAGGGAGTATGATTTCCACCTTTTTGTGGATGGACATCGTGGCCTAGAGACCTAGGGCCCAAAAGTTCCATTCCTTGGTCAGTTTGCGGTCGGGGCAAGTTTCAGGAGCTTCCTTGCAAGCGACGTGTTCACGCGGTACATCAGGCGACTGCTTGGGCAATGGGCAGACAAGAACTAAATTTCTTCACGGTGGCTTTTTATTATTATTTAAATTATTATCATTATTATCATTATTGTCATTATTATTATTATTGTTATTATTAGTATTATATATTTGTTCGGTTCAACTCATTTTTAGTCAGTAGCGGGTTGCAACACATGTTCTGTTGTTTTGCTACCATACCAAGGGTTTGAAAGGGTCCGCATTCATCATGCAATGGATCCACACGTGCAAGGCATGGTCACTTTTGCGTTTTACAAGTTTGCCTATGATTTGCTCAGCGATGGGTTTATCAAAGCTTCCATTTGCTGACATGAAATGCTTTGTTCCCGCATGGGTTTAAAGGGATATTCTTAAGACTTTCACTAAGGCAATAACTGGGAAGTACAAAAAAGATACAAAAAACAAACAAAAAACAAAAACAATACAAACCAAAAATACACACTGAAAAAAAAAACACCCCGGGGAAAGAACAAAACAAAAAAACAGAAAACAAACAGACAAAAAACAGAAAACAAACAACACGCATGCACAGAAAGAGGGAAACAGGGATGCCTGGTCTGCCCCTGAAGTGTCCCGGGCTGCATTTTGTTGTTTATTTGTTCTGTTTTTGTTCTTTTTTTGTTCAATTTTTGTTCTTTTTTTGTTTTTGTTCTTCGTGTTTTTACACATTTTGCATGCTTGGTCTGCCCCTGAAGTGTCCCGGGCTGCATTTTGTTTTTTATTTGTTTTTTGTTTGTTCTTTTTTTGTTTTTTTCCTCGTGTTTTTGCACATTTTGGATGCCTGGTCTGCCCCTGAAGTGTCCCGGGCTGCATTTTGTTGTTTATTTGTTCTGTGTTTGTTCGTTTTTTTTTTTTGTTTTTCCCCTGTGTTTTTACCCATTTTGCATGCTTGGTCTGCCCCTGAAGTGTCCCGGGCTGCATTTTGTTTTAGATTTGTTTTTTGTTTGTTCTTGTTTTGTTTTTTTCCTCGTGTTTTTGCACATTTTGGATGCCTGGTCTGCCCCTGAAGTGTCCTGCATTTTGTTGTTTATTTGTTCTGTTTTTGTTATTTATTTATTTTTTGCACGTTTTTACACATTTTGCATGCTTGGTCTGCCCCTGAAGTGTCCCGGGCTGCATTTTGTTTTTTATTTGTTTTTTGTTTGTTCTTTTTTTGTTTTTTTCCTCGTGGTTTTGCACATTTTGGATGCCTGGTCTGCCCCTGAAGTGTCCCGGGCTGCATTTTGTTGTTTGTTTGTTCTTCTTTTTTTTTTTTCCTCGTGTTTTTACACATTTTGCATGCCTGGTCTGCCCCTGAAGTGTCCCGGGCTGCATTTTGTTGTTTGTTTGTTCTGTTTTTGTTCTTTTTTTTTTTTTCCTCGTGTTTTTGCACATTTTGGATGCCTGGTCTGCCCCTGAAGTGTCCAGGGCTGCATTTTGTTGTTTAGTTGTTCTGTGTTTGTTCTTTTTTTGTTCTTTTTTTGTTCTTTTCCCCGTGTTTTTACCCATTTTGCATGCTTGGTCTGCCCCTGAAGTGTCCCGGGCTGCATTTTGTTGTTTATTTGTTCTGTTTTTGTTCTTTTTTTGTTCTTTTTTTGTTCTTTTTTTGTTCTTTTTTTGTTTTTGTTCTTCGTGTTTTTACACATTTTGCATGCTTGGTCTGCCCCTGAAGTGTCCCGGGCTGCATTTTGTTTTTTTTTGTTTTTTGTTTGTTCTTTTTTTGTTTTTTTCCTCGTGTTTTTGCACATTTTGGATGCCTGGTCTGCCCCTGAAGTGTCCCGGGCTGCATTTTGTTGTTTATTTGTTCTGTGTTTGTTCGTTTGTTTTTCTTTTTTTGTTTTTACGCATTTTGCATGCTTGGTCTGCCCCTGAAGTGTCCCGGGCTGCATTTTGTTGTTTGTTTGTTCTTTTTGGGTTTTTTTCCTCGTGTTTTTGCACATTTTGGATACCTGGTCTGCCCCTGAAGTGTTTCTGGCTGCAGTTTTTTGTTTGTTTCCGCGTCTGTATTTTTATATTTTTGCTGATTTTCAGTGATTGCCTATCTCTGAGGGTCATAAGGATATTCGTTTGTTCTGCCCTTTTTTGGCAGGGGCTTAAGTAAATAGAGGTCAGGGTGACTTAGCAAGCAGGAGCTTACCCACAAGCAAATACCATAGACTCCCCCCTATGGTTTTCACCCCATTTAATAACTGCCTCCCAAATCAACCATACCAAAACCATAACGAGCTTAGGGGTAAGACCCTCATAGAAAAAAAAACACCAAACAACAAACCAAACAAAAAACCAAACAACCGACCATACAATAGACAATTACAAAAACCCTACAACAAAAACCGCCCGCGCTTCGTCTACAACGACTTCATCTTCAACCAGTGCCCTCGCCGTTGCATGTGAGTGTTTGTGCACATGTTTCATGAGTGGGCAAATGTCAATATTTGACCCTTCCAATGTTGAGATGTGACCCTTCCAATGTTGAGATGTGACCCTTCCAATGTTGAGATGTGACCCTTCCAATGTTGAGATGTGACCCTTCCAATGTTGAGATGTGACCCTTCCAATGTCAACATTTGACCCTTCCAATGTCAACATTTGACCCTTCCAATGTCAACATTTGACCCTGCAAATTTCAAGTTTCAACACCAACCCCAAACTCGTTTTCCTTAATCCGTCAAACTCACCAAGATTTCACAAATCAAATCAGCAGGTATTTTATATAAATCTTCTTGCTTATGTTTTACATAATTCTCGCACCAATTTTCCTTACGACCGGATGGCATCCTCTATTGATTGTAGATATTGCAGATGTTTTATGGTTTTCTCGTGCGTTGCTTTGTCTGCCCTTCTTAAGGTTGAACCACATTGACAAGTGTATTTCTCTTTACATTTCTCTAACCTTCTTTGGTATGCTTCCTGTTTTTTACTATTTCGTTTTTGTTGCTCTTCTTCTACTGATATTTTCCCTATAAATCGCAGGTGTGTTTTCATTCTTTCGTGTTCTGCTTTTCCAGCAATCCGAACAACAGACCCACATGCACAGGTGTATGTTTGTTTCTTGCTTTCATTGATGTCATCTTTGTTGTTCCAATAGTGGTCTCGCTTTTGTTGATTAATTTGTTCTCGGTTTTGCTCTCTATACTCAGCTTGAGTTCTTCCGGGAGTCTGTTTATTGACACAATCCAATGATTGTTTGTAATGACCTTCTCTTTTCCTTAGTTCTTCCACTGTATCACACGGGCAGTTTTCAAGAAGTTCAATTTTACAGTTGTCAACACCAAACTCATTGAAGATGTTAAAGGATGTGATGAAATATTTACAACCCTTCAAATAGTTCCTGTATTCTTTACGATGCCTTGCCATTCTCTGACTTAGACTTTCACAAGTGCTTCCTATATAGCATTTAGTATAAGCATTGTCAGTTATTTTATACACCTTCCCATTTATATATCGGTTTGTATCCATTACTATCATAATAATATGGCATTTCTTTAAAGGGGTTCAATCCAAACTCACCAGTATCTCACTAATCAATTCAGCAGGAATTTTATATAAATCTTCTTGCTTATGCTTTACATAATTCTCGCACCAATTTTCCCGCTTTCCACTTGGTGCCCGTTGCGCAGGTTCAATATGTTTGTTATTAACCACTTTACCACAATCTTTATTACATAATGGTCTGGGTTTCCATTTATCAATGTTATTCCACAACCTCGTTCTTTTCCGATAATTAAAACCATATTTACAATAATCAATATCAAAATAGTCAAGTTCATTCATAAACTCCTGATTTTTTAATAATCCAGTTTGTGGATTTTCAATTACATAATATTTTGGATTGAAATATTTGATAATCTCAATAGTTTTTAAGACAATACTATTTGCATATTCAATGTTTCTTATTCCTGTTGTTTTTGCTCTACTGTATTCTGTGCAAGGTGGTGATGCCCAAATGAATGAGAAGTGGTTTCTGTCAAATTGTTTGTAATCCCATTCAAGTATATCACAATTAATATCAGCATGTTTCAAATCCAACGATATTACATTAAAACCTAAATCACGCGCAACTTTACCTACGCTTTGACTGCCTGAAAATAATTCTAATAAATTCATATTATTAGAATTATTTATATTTTAATTTTCAACAATTACATATTTACCATCATCACCCTTAATTAGTTTATAATATTCTAATGTTTGTTCTTTTGGACTTTTGATTTGTCCCTTATTTAACATATCACAATATTTTTTTACGCTTCGTGTCATAATCACCGCTGGGTCTGCCTATCCCTTTCTTTTCAAAGATTTTGTCAATCTTTTCCTTCTCTTCATTGTTATTTTTTGGTTCGTTTGCCTTTGCATCAAGTTTCTGGTCAATAGTTTTTATCATCTCGTACAACAGTTTAACATTTTTACTAACTGTCATTATCTTCTTTGATAGTTCAACAATAGCATCATTCTCAACTTCAGACATTTCTATATATAAATATTTATATATTTATTTATTTATTTATGCGTTTGAAGTGGTGTTAAATCTACTCTTTAAATACTAATTTTTCATCATTCTTTCTCAGGTGTAAATAACCTACCAAATCCACTTTTGAAGTTTTCTACCCAACTTTCTTCAACTGTGCTCCCGTCGGCATCTTTCTTTTTTACTGTATGTACTGTATGCATGGTTCTACCACATGAACACGGCCAACATTTAACTTTAACATGTTCTTTATCTAATTCTAATTCATTTAATGGTTTAATTGTTTGACCGCATTTTTCGCATTTGACACATTCAATCTCTGTTTGTTTCTCTTGCTTCTTCTTTGGAGGCATTTATATTAATATTTACATTTTTATTTTTGATATATTGAATTCCTAACTTAATTATTTCTAAAACAAAATAGCATACTTTCTTACATTTATTGTCAGTTATTATTACTTGTTCTATATTTTCTACTTCATCTATTGTATCAATATAATCTGTATAACTCCTTTGCATATTAAATAATAAGAT